GAGAGAGAGAGAGTGTTCAATGGGGAATTGGAATGAAGCATCAACTTCTTGCCTACCTTTTCTAACAAGCAGGAGGAAGAGAGTTTTTTTTTTTTTAGTTTTTTTTATTATCAAGTGAGCCATTAACCAATTAATCTAGATTTGATGTCTCAGAGTATTTTTTTTTAATTATTTTTTTTACTAGCTATATGAATATGAAATTTGGTACTTGCTATCATCTCAATGGGGTGTATGTAAATAAAATATTAAAAAATACTTTTGATAAAATACAATGGTCAAAATATCTTTGAAACGTTTAGGGATATTTTAGTTATTATATATATATATATATATATATGGAAAATGCTTTTCAACGCCTATAGGTGAAAAATGAATAGTGATTTCGTTTATTTTCATCACCGTCCAATCATTGCGCGGTCACGATTGTCCGGTAGTGTTTTATTTATTATTATTTTTCTACAAATAGGAATGAATTGCACATCTTATTGAGGTGTATCTAATAAAAATATAAAAACAGTTATCCGTAAAAAATAAATTGACCAAAATACCCACAAAACTTTTTAAGGGTTTTTGGTCAAAATTTTTCATGTAAAATATGTTTTTTATAATTTTTGAAGATTCCCTTATTTTTGATGAATACACGCTCCAAATTTCAGATCATTTCGATTTGTATAAGAAAAATAAAAAATGAAACACTACCGGACAATCGTGACGGCACGATGAACTTTGGACGGTGATGGGGGTAGACGAAATCGCTGTTCATTTTCGTCTATAGGTGTTGCGTAGTGTTTCCCTATACATATATGGTATGGTTTGTATAGAGCTGAGGCTCTAAACAATCAAATTTGAGCCCACCTTCAATTAGTGTCGAAAAATATAATTTCAATACCAGAAAGTGTTGTGATAACCTTAAATTATATTTTCATCTTTAGTTATAAAATTTAAAGTTTAAAAAATAGTTAGATCGAGCAGATCTATAAAAATCTTGAAAATTGATGGTAAAAAAATGTGTTACAAGGTGTACTATTTTCAAAACTTGAAATCTATTTTTTTCTAATGTCCATGCATTTTGATGTTGATATGATCAATTTGATGATATTTGGACATCAAATAGTCTCTTCTAGTGAAAGGAATAACAGAAATGCCAATAACAAACCACGATGTGTGTGTGATTACCTATTTTTATACTGAATACAAGTTTAAACTGCATTAGATTACATATCAGATGTATACAGAAAGATTACAAAATCATTTGTATATAAGCAAACAGATCTTACATGAACAAATACGTACAGCTTACAAAGACAATAACTGGAGAATAACTTCCAGCTGTAAGGACAGTTTGATGGGAGTTTATGGAAGTTACAGTCACACATTT